TACAGTCTTTCGTTGATGACTACGAACATGGCCGACTCCTTTTGCACCAACGATGCCTCCCTTTTGTCTTCCGGTAATTCCCCCCGAGTTAGATATGCGATGTACTGTCCCATCCACGAATTAAGCTCTTCCTGGATGAATAGGACGTTCCCTTGCGCCTCGTTTATACTTGGTTGTGCTAGCGTCTCTTGGATAACTGACCGAGTGGCTCCTGGCTTCTTTGTGCTTGCAAGCTTAGAGAGCAAGTCGGCCCTCGAATTTTGCTCTCGTGGTACGTGGTTAAGTGTGAACTCTCGGAAATTTCCCGATAAGAGCTTAACCTTTTCCAGGTACTTAGCCAGTTGAGGGTCCTTCGCCTGGAAGGTGCCGGCTACCTGCCCCGTGATCAGTTGGGAGTCACTTCGTGCTGATAAACTCGTCGCCCCCATTTCCTTTGCCAATGCCATACCGGCCAACAACGCTTCATACTCGCCCTGGTTATTGCTTGCTCGAAACTCGAATCGCAATGATTGTTCCAACAAAATTCCTCCCGGTCCTTCCAAGACGATTCCCGCTCCACTTCCTCCAAGGTTCGAGGCTCCATCCACCGATAGGATCCACTGTGTCTCTTCAATACTGCCTTCCTCAGCCGGTGAAGTTAGTTCCATCACGAAGTCAGCTAGCGTTTGAGCTTTGATTGCTCCTCTCGGTTCATACTTGATGGAATACTCTGATAGCTCTACAGACCACTTCATCATCCTTCCTGCCAGGTCGGGCTTCTGTAGTACTTGCCTAATCGGATGATCTGTTCGGACTACCACCTCGTAACTCTGGAAATAATGTCTTAGCTTCCGCACTGTAACCAGTATCGCAAGGGCTAATTTCTCGATCTTCTGATAACGAACCTCTGCTCCTTGTAACACCCTGCTAACAAAATAAATGGGCGATTGGGAGTTACCTCTTTCCTGTACTAAGACCGTGCTGATGGCACTATCGGATGCCGACAAATACATATTTCCGACCCGGACAATTTTAGGGGTCTACAGGGACAAAGGCAAATATATAGGTCCTTCATGCCCTATATTTTTTCACGATGAATAAAAACTACATCTAATAATAACCGTCTCGATTTTTCAACATCAAGATGAGGCATAAGAAGATCGTAATACTTCTTTCATCATTTGTCGAAAAAAATAATCATCATGTAAATACAATCAAGTTTTACCGAAATAAGGGACAAAGGCAATATATAGGACTTTCTTGTTCTACATTTTTTTACGATGAATACAACATGCATCTAATAATAACCGTCTCGATTTTTTGACATCAGGATGAGACATAAAAAGATCGTATACCTCTTTCATCATTTGTCAAAAAAATAATCATCATGTAAATTCAACAAAGTTTAACCGAAATAAGGGACAAACACAATATATAGGACTTTCATGTCCTATATTTTTTCATGATGAATACAACATGCATCTAATAGTAACCATCTCGATTTTTCGACATCAAGTTGAGGCATAAGAAGATCATGTACCTCTTTCATCATTTGTCGAAAAAAATAATCATCTTATAAATACAACCTAGTTTTACCGAGATGAGAGACAATGGCAAATATATAGGACTTTCATGCCATATATTTTTTCGCGACGAATACAACATGCATCTAATAATAACCGTCTCAATTTTTTGACATCAGGATCAAGCATAAGAAGATCACATACCTCTTTCATCATTTGTTGAAAAAAAATAATCATCATGTAATAAATACAACCAATTTTTACCGAGACGAGGTACAGAAGCAATTAATACTCATCTCATGTAACCAATTCTTAAAGAAAACCTTTTTTTGCATAAAAATATTTTATCACCTCACCCTCTTAATAATGCTTTTGGTGTTATGTTTTCTAGACAATTGATAAAGTCCAGTGCTCTTGAAAGCTTCAGCTAGTAAGTGAATGCACTGTATAGTTTTATATCTTTGAGATGAGATGTCACAGGCCCCTCATGCAAGATTTATTTGGGCAGCACCCTTTACTTGATGAAATTTAATTTAATTATGAATAATTGGGCATGTTAATGGATTTACATCTCTAAAGCAACAGAAGTTACAGATAATGTTAACATCAATAATCAGTATGAACTGACCTAGCCATATACTTGGCCTTCTCAGCTTCCTCCCATGCTATTGCACGTGCTTCAATGACACTCTTAGGTGCTTCTGCTTTTGTTTTCAAGGAAGTGGATGCATCCTTATCCTCATCTTCTTTGCTAGCCCATGCAGCAATGTTCATTTTACCTAGTATCTAATAAAAGAATCAAACCCTATGGATCTATATATCAATAATTATGTAGAAAAAAAATAAAGGAAAACTTGATAGAGGAATGTGACCAAGAAATCTCGTGACAAGAAAAACTCAAACTACTAGCCATGCAATGAAATTAAAATATTCAGAGTTTAAAATCAGAGAGTCAAACAACTTACCTTCAAAGTCAGAACCTGAATCAGGATCATAAACTATATCCAAATATGAAGATACAATAGAAACTCGCCATTAGTTTCATCTTCAACAACAACATCATCCCTAGCCCATACAGAAGACCATGGAACAGTCACTACAGAATACAAAGAAGAGGAAAATGAGGAGTTTGAAGACAAGACTACAGAAAAATTTAAGCAGAAGCTTCTTATCACTTCATTAGGAATTAAACTAAGGATAAGGACAATTACAATTAATAGTCCAACACATCAAGCAGAAAGAAACCTAGTACAATTTACACCACAAGATCAATCACATTTTCAATCTTTTACTTCACTTATATCCCCTTGACATTTACTCACGTCACAGTTTTTATTAACCAGGCAAGCGCAAAGACAACATGCAATAGAAGTATTTGCTTTTGAAATTCAGATATGGAAACACGCTACCAAATAAACACTAGTGTAACCAAATGTAAGATCAAAGTCCTTTTGATAAGAGGAGAAGCTAACTTAAGGCCTATTTAGATAATCTTCTCCAAAAACATTTCTAGGAGAGAGAAAAATAGGAAGATAAAATGAAATAAATTTTTCCAAAAGCTATAATTAGCTTATGTATAAACTAATTTGTAGAAGTTTTCTTTTATTCACTTTCACCAAAATCTTATTTTTAACTTATGTATAAGGCTGATTTTAACTTACGGTAAAGTTTATTTCAATTTTACTTCCTTTTTTTTTCCTTAGAAGTGATTATGGAGAAGTTTACTCAAGCGTACCCTTAAAAGAAACTCAAGCCTAGACAATTAGTCAACCACCCCATGCAAAGTGAAAAACAATTATGTCTACAAAATGCCTCTAAATCTACAACCATTTATTTGAGCATTACAATCCACAGAAAAAATACACTCAAGGATAAAGCATTTGACATTTTGACTAGTCAAACAATAGTAAATCAAGATACAACGACCTGAAGGCTGAAGCCAAACCTTAGACCTTCCCTAAACAAAATCTATGGCAATGTTATTGGCTTTTGTCACACACAAAACCGGAATTAACAACACAACCAAACCATGCCAATAGCCAAACATCAAATCCCAAATTCACAATCACTTACGGTACTAAACCAAATCAAAAATAAAAGAAAAGTGTAGTTATTACCGTGCTTCCCCATCGATCCTTGGCGTCAACTTCGGCAACTTTCTGGAGCAAAAACTCATCGACCTCAGTGAATCCCTCACACGCGGCAACATGAAGAGCAATGTGATAATCAATATCCGTGAAATTGACACAGCGCCTCAGTCTTCTTGTTTTCAAAACTTCAACCAATCAAAAATATCGAAATCGCGTTTCGCATAAACACAAAAAGAAAAATAACACAACCAAAACAGATTCAAGTAACAAACAAGAAAAATGAAATTAAGAAAAAAAAATGGTTCATGAAAAGGCCTGCGTCCAAGCTAGAGAGTAAAGAAAATAAAGAAATTCCGAAATCAGGAAAAAGAAAGTAAAAGAGAAAATCGAAAAGATTATGCCTACCAGAAACTATGGGATTGGAAAGGGATCAACAAGAACAAAGCTCCATCGAGGCACGTTAACTTAGGTTAGGGTTTCGGATCGAAGTGCGGTTTCAATGGGTTTCGGATCGAAGTGCGGTTTCGAAGAGGGTTTCGGATCGAAGTGCGATTTCAAAGAGGGTTTCAGATCGTTATCTCACTCTCTTTCTCTCTCCCTCTCACTCTGTTTCTTTCTTTTGAATATGCGGTTAAATTTCTCTAACCTCTGTAGGGTTCTAAATAATTAGTTTCCATAGCAATAAATTGGGCTAAGTACCGGCTAAAATAAAATAAACCTTATAAAAAAAATATTTTTTATATCTAAAAATACATGATAATACAAAAAAAAAAGTAAAAATCATATTTTTTTAAGGAACTCAAAATCAATATTAAGGCTTTTAGATAATGTAATGACTGTAATTCAATTTTTTTCTATTGTAGACCAGTCAGTGTTTTAATTTAATTTTTTTCATCATCCATTCCTCCTATTTATAATTTATAATACCTAATATAAAACAATTGTTTGTTAATACCTAAAATTGTTTGTTTTATTATATATAAGACTGAATTTATATTATTTTATGTACTAATTGTTTAAGGGAGAATAATATTAATTATGAAGAAAAAAGTAATATAAAGATATATATATATATATATTGTAATTGATTAAGAGAAAAAAAAAGTATTAATTAAAAAAATAATATTAAATTTTTTTTAATTATAAAAATAAAGGAAAAGCATGACTTGCTAGACCAAATTTATAGTCTAGTTACATTAGTGATAAAATTTTTTAGTATTTATTGGTTTTAACAAAACGTGTATCCTTGAAATTGTTCAGCATTTTTATGCCTGAATATTAACAAAATAATTTTTTTATTTTCTAAAAAAATAATTTCACAATTTGAACCCTTAAAAGGGTACTTGTTTCACAAATTAAAGGCACTCTTACCTAGCAAAATACTAATCAAGAATCTTAACTAAAATTAACAAGTTATAAAAATTGTACCTAACCATATTTGAACGATCAAAAAATATATATAACAAAATTTTAACTTAAAAAATAAAAGTTAATTTTTTATAATAGTTTTTAATTAACCAATTAATTTTGGTTATGGTTAAAGTTTTTATAAGATCACCCTTAATTTAGTGTTTATTTTTCTTCTCACAGTATTAGACTTTTAGATATACCAAAGGAACCAAAACCTCAAAAAACAAAAAAGAAACAAAAAAATATTATATGTGTTTATCCTTTCTGGCATATATAGGAATTTTTTAACAAGAGAGATACACTAACATAAAATAGTTGATAAAAATTTAACACTAACCCTTACTTGATGTGTCTCTCCTAGTGGACAAGATCCAGTGATCCACACACTTGAAAATGCTACCATGGCATATATAATAATTCTCGAACCGGTGATCACTAAGTCACATAACAAAGACTATAAAATACTTTTAAATTGAAAAAGATCATTATTATTAACAAGATGAGCAGTAATTTTTTTTATATTTTTTTCTTATTACATCTTTAAATATATATTAATGAGAAAAAAAGTTAAAATATAAAATAAATTACATTATTCTCACATGAGAGATATTATACCGCTCTCCCCTTTTATGTTAAAATATATAAATTATGTTACTCTTCTTTGAGAGATAAGAATATTAGACTTCCATATCCTTTTAGGTTAAAATATACAATTTAATTCATTTAACTTAAGGTCATTAATGTAAATTACACTATTCTTCCTTTATATAAGTATTACATTATCTACCATTTATATATTAAAATATCAAATAAATCATCTTTTTATCTCTTAAACTTGAAAGATACAATTATTGTATTATTATTCTTCTATATTAAACTAACATCGCAAAAAAATAATTATTCTAATATTTTAAAAAATAATTTTAATTTAATTATTCATAAAAGTATATTTTTAATTTAATTAATCATAAAAATATACTTTAATTAAAATATATTTTAAAATACTTTTATTTCATTATCATTCATTTACTTATTAAAAAAATGTAAAACATATAATTAAATTTAAAATTAATTAATTAAAATAATAAATAAAATAAAAACTATAAAATAAATTTGATATGTATATTATATATAGTATAATATTTTGTATATTATAATATAAATTAACTTATATATGAATATTAGATTTTTGTAATAATTATGTTTTTATATAATAATAAATTTTTAATATAAAT